TGTTTGAAAATTTTCAACAGCTTTGTTAATAGTGTTAGAGTCTACGGCTACAGTATTTGTTACTTCCAGGTAAATTTCTAATTCATAAATTTTTTCCCTGTCTAAATTAAGGATAAATTCTTCTTCCTTGTTTAAATAATATATCCCACTTTTTTATTTTCTCTTCGCTGATTTGATCTGTCGGTCCAGATTCGCAATTACATTTTAGTTTATTTAAGTTAATATCGATATCTATTCAGGACAATGCACATCAGAGTATAGACAACTAAAATCTAAAACTTTGGAATTAGAGACAATGTTAATAAAATCCAGTGACCCTGCGAAGTCTCCTACTGCAGCATTTTTGCTCGTAAGTTCTCCCGTTATATTGTCTCCAATGCGACCATTTATTATATTTATAAATTTGCATAAATCTAGTAAAAGTTTCCCATAATTATTTTTTGTTTTATCTTTATTGTTTCTAGCCGTCGGCATATTATAGATTTCAAATTTATGTGTGTCGTTTTCTACAAATTCCAGTAGATTAAAAATTTCAGAAATATCGTTTTTGTCTAAAGGGATAAAATCAGCTTCAGTTGAGGTAAATATACTGTTGAAATCGCCGGATAAGCACATATATTTGTATTTATTTGAAAACCAGAATATCAGTTTCGATTTCGCGAAAGGCGTCTGGGGAACTATACTTTGTGTTTTCTGGTGGTATATATACAGAACCAACGACAATGTTAGCATCTAGTTCAGTGTATGATAATGATATTTCAAACCATATGACAAAATTACTATCACTTGATAGGAATTGTATATGTTCGTCTAATTCTTCTTTATAAAGAACAATAAGTCCACCTGATTTTCTAAAAGTCATATTTCTGTTTTTCATTTTACGGATATAGCCAGGTAGGTCAATGTCATCACAGTTGTCAGTTTTGCTTTCTTGAAGACATATAATTTCATAATTTTGAAGCAGTTCTATAAATTCAGGGTATTGAAGTCGTTTCTTTACACCACAGACATTTCAACTCAATATATTTAATTTACGAACATTATTTTTAAAAGGCACACAATTACATTTTTTCGTATTTCCATCAGTTACTCCTTCTTCGCGTCTCTATGATTTGGATTCTGATCCAGGTCTTGCTCGTTTGTGGGATTTTCAGAAATTTTTTGGCGGTGTTCCCGAGAAGGAAGTTGAAAGTTGGAGTCTTTGGTCAGTACTTGATTCCTTATTAGCCTCTTCTTTGTAAATTATTCCATCAATAAATGGCTTATCCTTCATCATGTAAGCTCTTTTTCCTTTTTTCTTTGCCTCTTTCATAATGGGGTACAATTTTCTTCTCTCCTCAATCTCTCTAGGGAATTGAATATATTTATTCCATTATTTGGTTTGTTTTTCAGTTTCAGTCCTGATCGTAATATGATTTCTAAATCTTTATACTAAAGAAATCTCGCTACAATCATGACAATTGGTCTGTGCTTGCCTTTGTTAATTTTTTTTCCAAATCTGTGCACAGTTTCAAGTGCAATTTCTTTTCTTACACTAAGCTCTTTCCTCATGATTGTTTGCAAAACTAGTTTGGTGTCTTCTTCTGCGGACTCTTCTAGACCAGAAAATACCAAATTGTTCTTCATAGATCTGCATTGTGAATCTAGGATTTTCTCTTTTACTACTGTGATGTTATTTTCTGTATCGTTTATATTTGCTACATCATTCTGCAATTGTCTGATGTTGTTGCCTTGGGTAGCATTTTCATCCCGTAATATTTCGTATTGGTTACTCAGGAATGTGGCACTATCCTCTAGCTCGGTTGTTCTTGCCTTTAACATGTTTAAATTTGAGATTTCAACATTCATTTTATCGACCTTTTTTGTTAACTGATTTAAAGTTGTTTCGATAATCTCAATTCTATTTGTTCTTTCCTCAATCACTATTAATCGGCTATTAATAGTTGTTAACAGTTCGAACACTTCAGTAGTTATATCAGGGGACTCAGACATTTTGATCGTACTTTACTAAGTCTCACTGTAGACATGTTGTATATTCAATAGGAAGGAAATTTGATTTAATTTTCCGACGTCGCTAGTACGTTTCTACGGTACAATAATGGAACAATGGATTCTTTTGAAGAGAAGAAACAGTCGCTAAATATTTTCAATGATAACGTTCGTTTTAGCGCTATCTAAGTCTTGTAACGTTTACACAGCGATATTCTATAAATAAATCGGACTAACTGACCTGTTTATGTTTTTAGACGACCGCAAAAAAATTTGCGGTCATATATTGGTATCATGTCGTCGTCGTCCGAAGACATTTGTTTCCGGACAATAACTTTAGTAAATGTAAATAGAAATCTATGAACTTTATACACAAGGTTTATAACCACAAAAGGAAGGTTGGGATTGATTTTGGGGGTTATAGTCCTAACAGTTTAGGAATTAGGGGCCAAAAAGTGGCCCAAATAAGCATTTTTCTAGTTTCCAGACAATAACTTGTGGAACAGTGTATGGATCTCTCTGAAATTATACCACAAGTTTCCATACCACAAAGGGATGGTCAGGATTGGCTTTGGGGGGTTATGGCTCAAACCGTTTAGGAATTAGGGGCTAAAAAGGGGGGGAAACAAGGGTTTCCTGGTTAATGGACAGTTAAAAAAAAGTACAATGTTAAGTTTGGATTACCTCCCTTACACTGCTTTTAAATTAAGTATAAAGAAATGTTGTATCGTCTTGAGGTGATTAGCTGTCAATTTATTTTTAAAAGTTACTATTTAAAAATGCTGATTAAGGAATATTAATTTTAGCCATGATTATGTATGTCATTTTTTATTTTAAGACTTTTATGATGTATTTAAATGGGTAATTATGGTTGCAAACTGCATTGGAAATTTGAATTGAGATTATGACCATATCTTGAGGGAAATAATTTTTTTATTTTGGAAAAAGGAGGGGGGGAGTTGGAAAAAAGGGGGGGGAAAGAAATTGTTAAGGGGGGGGGGGGGCAATTTTTTCTCATTTCAGATTTCAGTAATTAAAAAGAAAATTTCTTCAAATTTTTTTTTTTGGGGGGGAGGGTCAATTCCCAACAGCATAGTGTATTGCACAAAAGCAAAAAATTGAATATAAATTCGAATCATATAACCAATTCTAAGTTCTTTGACTACAGTTATTCTGTGTCAAATATTTAATTACAATCCAAATTCAGACCTGTATCAAGCGCGAAAATTGTGTCCATTTTTGCCCCAACTGTTCAGGGTTGGACCTCTGCGGTCGTATCCAGCTGTGCTGGGCAAGCAATTTATTTATGTATCCTTTTATCATGAGAATAATTAAATTATAACACTGCCAATTTTTTACGCTGTCTCCTAGTTACCTCATCCGGGCCATTTTTTTTTTTTACTATTGAATTAAATTACTTTTTGTTCTGTGTATTATATTGTCGAAACTGCTGGACTGGCATGATACATTTTCTTGGTATACATTTGCCAAGAATATTTCACTCAACCCAGGCCTTTTAGATAAAGTTAATATTTGTAGGGACTTGAAAAACTGTAAACTCAAAATGCAACAGTTTAGGAATTAGGGGCCAAAAACAAGCATTTTTGTAGTTTCAGGACAATAACTTGTGTGTAAGTGTATGGATCTCACTGAAATTGTACCACAAGGTTCCATATCACAAAGGGAAGGCTTGGATTGAGTTTGGGGGTAATTGCCCCAAACATTCAGGAATTAGGGGCAAAAAGGGGGCCAAAAACAAGCATTTTTCTAGTTTCCAGACAATAACTTGTGTTTATGTGTATGGATCTCTCTGAATTTGTAATGCAAGGTTCCATAACACAAAGGGAAGGCTGGGATTGAGTTTGGGGGTAATTATTCCAAGGTGGGTTCAAAAAGTTTGGAGGGGATTTTTTTTTTCAAATTTTTTTGGGGGTTCATATTTTTTTCTTCATGATTTTTCAAATTTTTTTATTTTTTTCTAAAAAAAATTTGTTGGGGTGTGTGTGGGGGGGGGGGGGGGGGGGGGGGGAGGGTTTCATAATTTTTTGTTTTTTTTCTAAAAAATTTCCATTTTTCCATTGATTATTTCTGATTTATATATAAAAGCAACAAATACTGATATAGCAGGAGATACACACCAAACAGGGTGTGTAAATTATTATATATAACAGATAAACAGTATTGCGCAATAACAAGAAATCTTCAATTGCACAATATTGCACAATATCAAGAAATCTTCAATTGCACAGTATTGCGGAATAGCAAGAAATCTTCAATTGCACAGTATTGCGCAATAGAAAGAAATCTTCGATTGCACAGTATTGCACAATAGCAAGAAATCTTCAATTGCACAGTATTGCTCAATAGCAAGAAATCTTCAATTGCACAGTATTGCCCAATAGCAAGAAATCTTCAATTGCACAGTATTGCACAATAGCACAGTATTGCACAATAGCAAGAAATCTTCAAATGCACAGTATTGCGCAATAGCAAGAAATCTTCAATTGCACAGTATTGCGCAATAGCAAGATAACTTCAATTGCACAGTATTGCGCAATAGCACAGTATTGCACAATAGCACATTATTGGGCAATAGCACAGTATTGCGCAATAGCAAGAAATCTTCAATTATGCAGTATTGCGCAATAGCAAGAAATCTTCAATTGCACAGTATTGCACAATAGCACAGTATTGCACAATAGCATAGTATTGTGCAATAGCAAGAAATCTTCAATTGAAAATAAATACAAATCTTTTAACCAATTTCAATGGGATTAATTTAAAGTCTTTTATTTTGGGGGGTTCTTACCTTGTATTACTATTTTGGATATTGGGCCCCATTTTTAAATTGGTCTACATTGAGGTCCAAAGGGTCCAAAATTAAACTTTATTTGATTTCATAAAAAACTGTCTTATTGAAACATTGTAATTATATTTCAGAGTGATATCACGGCAAACTTGCCAATGAAACAGAAGTCTGTGAATATTGATACATTGTAATTATATTTCAGAGGGATACCACTGTTAACCTGTCAATGAGACAGAAGTCTGCCTTGAAGAGACGGATAACACGTGAACATAACAGTAACTTTAGAGCAGGTTATATCAACATTAATGAACAGTATTTACACAAGACTGGAATTAGAGGACGCAAGAGATATTTCCTTTACTGTTTAGTTGCCTTGCTATTTATTGTAGCTGTAGTAAATGCATTGGTAAGATTTGTTATTGATGAAAATATTTTGAATGGTATTTAAAGAATAAGTAGAAAACATGGAAGTGCTTTATATATGGCACGTAATACTGACCAACTGAGGTGAACATACTGATATTGGAACCCAGAAATGTAATATAGAACAAATTGGGTAAGCAGAATGAGACTTGGACTCAGAAACCATGGAAATAAAACTATCATTTATAGACATCTACGGATCACTATAAAAAGGTGTCAAAGATAAACAAAGGTACACATTCTGTTTCAAGCACTAACTAGCTCTTAGTCTATAGACAAGAACGAAATTAAAGAAAAACTAATTACATTTTATCAAGCGTCAAAGCCAAATTTTCAAATGGAACAACAATGAAGAACATTAGGACAACCGTGGATTGGGTTCCTAACTGCATATGGATAACGAATGTAATTATTGTAATTAAATTTGAGGTGAAAGAAATAAGTATTAACAATTTGTAGACAAGTACACGTCTAGAATAATACGACATGCACAAGGATACATTTCTATTATTTTATCAAAAAAACAGTTGCATCAAAGTAAGGTGACACAATTATATGCAGCTTAACGTTTTTTCCTCATGAAGACAGATTATTGTACCTTATTCTACTCTAATCCTGCTTACTTTTCTATCATTACATTTATATTTACTGCAGCCACGGCAGACATGACATTCTTATAACATTATTATAATAAAATTAAAAACCAATGCTGTATAATGTTTGCTTACAATGTAAAATACTCTATATGTGATATGAACATGATAAAAATCTTAAAATGATACAGTTTATATACTGTAAATTCATAAATTATGTTGAGGTTTTTATCAGTGCAAATAATGCGACTAGGTGAGTATAGCAATAATAAGAACTTGCATTCTAATATTGGATACATATATCTGTATGCATATTTTCTTGTAATCGCGATAATAACTCTTGCATTTTTATCCATTCTTCTAAAATCACAATATTAAATGCACACAATAATTTCTGAATTTACAGTACTCCATCTACTAAAGGATACACAATTAGTATGAAAATTACTATTTTTTTCCCTTAATCCTGTATAAGTTTGATCTTCCTATTTAATGTATTTCATGCATATACAGGTACATGTATCAATGTGTAGTGATGCATGAAATGTTATAAGATGTATTCTTTTATATATGTACTTATGGAAAAAGGTTGAATTTAATTTTTAGTTGACCACAGCCATTATTTATTATATGAGGATTTCACCACAACATGGTATGGATTCAATGGAACACATCCCAGATTACGACCTTTTAAGATTTATTGGAAAGTCTGTTTTTGATACCGTTCGGATATTAAATGGAAGAATAGGAAGTAGAGCTAACAAAAATTTATATATTGAAGGAAACAACAGCTCTGTAAGTCATTTACATATCATCATCATATCATTTATGCAAATTAGGATCAATTAGGTGTAAAGTCTTAAGAAACTTTGTTTTTCAGAGATAAGTTGAAATTTAACAAATGTAGATTTCAGACTTTTTTCTTTAATGTGACATTCTATCAATAAAATGAAACTTTCATGTAGTTAGATTGTATTACTTTTAATTTAATCTGCAAATAAAAAAATACTGTTTTATTTTTATTTTAATTTTTTTTACGCCTTTTAAACTATTAACTGTGGTTACTTACTATAAGGGGACAGTTTATGTATAAAGTATTTATAGTCTAGTCTAATGCATGATATGTATCACATGTATGTTTAGGCAGGCATACCAATAAAACTTATTGGGAGTAGAGAGGAAAAAGTATTTTGACTTAAGGAAAAGTAGTACACTATAACATTATTTAGGGATAAATATTTGGTATCGCAGGGTTACCGTTTACATTAGCAAAGATAATTACAGATATAATAAAATCTTAATAAAAGTGTAGACATACATATATTTTAAAATGATTGTAAACCCATTTCCAAGAAGACAACATTAAGAATTAGTTTAAATTAGTTTAAACAAATTTCAAACCGGAGTTCTATGTTTGCCACTAACAGTTACTAATTAAATAATTTGTTTCTGTTTACAGGTTATTATAACAGACAAAGGATCTGGGTTGAGGCATCCAAAATGTAAGATTTTATTATGTTTTGTGGCGTGATGTATTGAGGTACATGTGGATCCATGTTTATTTCTTATATTTGTTATGAAGAAATAAACTTATCAAACAATGAAATAATTATAATACCTTTGCAAACAAACATAAGTACCCTGTCTCTATTCCTCAATGTCTAAACCAACTCTATTTTATTTAAACTTAGTTCAAAAGCAGATCATATGGTGTTTTAACATCATCATATGAATTTTTGGGGAATCAGTTTATCAAAAATTATGTGCCTCCCTGCAAACCTTTTTCATATTCCATAAAGCACTTTGGTTAGGCATGCAAAATATTCTTTTGATATATTTTTTAAAACCTGCATGACCGAAAAGATTTATTTCAAGTGCATACTTTGCTGCTATATCTAATTAAAAGTGAATTTGAGAAAGACCTTAGAAGGTAACTTCATATAGTAGATCCTATTTATAAATTTATTACATTAAAGCTGATGTGTGTACATTTTTACCAAATTAAGGATGTTCGCTACTCTGTTTCAAAATAACAAGCTTTTTAAAAGACTGTTATAAATTGATAGTATATAATTAAAGGAACTGAAAAAGCAGAAAAAAATGTAGGGTCCGTGTGCTTGTTTTAGAGATATAAGCCATTGAACATTTGGCGGGAAATAATTCTCTCTAGACTTTTCTTACATTTAACATTGGTACCCTTTTACTTTAAAAAATTATGAAAAAAATAACAAGGATTTTATAGGATTTTCAAATTTGGCTTTTTAAACTATAAGTAATAAAATTATAAAAAGAAAAGTAGGGGTTAGCGGGGAAATTTTTTTAATGACACTACATGGATAAAACCAGAGGATTCCGAATATGTGGCAAAAATTCAAAAACAAGAGGAGCGAACATCCTTAATATAATGATTGTATTTTCAGTAACTGTTAGTCCAAAGACAACATCTATGGAGAATGTGGAAACCATGTCCATTATTGATTCTGTGACAGGGAAAGAGATGTTTTCCACCAAAGACAGTTCAAGTCTCCTATTGGATGGTGAAATAAAAAATCTGATTTCTCCAGAAATTTATCCTAACAATGTAAGGTTGAGTAAATGCCATTACAAATATTTAAGTGATATAAAATGAAAAGATGAGGTGTAAATAAACATGCAATAATATCCTAAATGTGTGAGTGAAATCTATTAAAGGTCATTCAATGATGTTCATTGATGGATATGATCTCATTAATATACAGAGTTAAAAGCAAATGACAATATGAACAAACTACTAATTCATTTTAACTCTGGTGGATAGCTTTCTCACTGGCAATCATACCACATCTCCTCATTTTTATAAGGTTGAAAATCTGACTTACAACAAAATAGTATAAACAATGGCAGTGAAAGTAGAACACTAATACAATAAAAAGAAACAAATCTAAACATTTTATTCTGGCTTATTCCAAACACAGAAATTATAATTGCATCTGGCATAGAGTGGTTTACTATACAATGTTTTAAGAGGAAATGATGGGTATATACCAATGAGACAACAGCCCATTGACACAAATCACCAGATCAACATTAGGTTAGACTAGTTTCTTAATATCTCAAACCCCCTATTTAAATTGATATCAGTGAAGAAAAAAAGGTACACCTAAGAACTTACAATGAAAATCAGTACAGGAAAAAATTTACATCTGTACGGTATAATAGAAAATAAAAAACACTAAGTACAGAAAAAAAACCATTCTCTGTCATTAACTGAAAGCAAGCTCATATTCCATTTTCTCATAGTGTTGAAAATTGTTGTTCTGTTTGGAGAATACACGAGTTATTTTTACAAACTTGATTTTATATAAAAGATAATCCGCATTTTAGTTTTTTCTATAAACCTGTTTTTTGAATGAATATTCAACAGTAAATAATAATTTAAAAGTCTTTTAATGAAGAAATTTTGTTGTTTATTGATTCAATAATTGAAAAAAGATTTATTCATTGTCTTTTCACAATCAATGCATCCTTATTTAAAATATTAGATTAAGTTGCCGGTTGAAAACACAAGATAAGCTTCTGTATTTAAAACACAAGATGAACCTCTGTTTTTTAGGGCTAAGTTACTAAGTTTCAATTTTGTCTTTTTTGACAACATATTTTGCAGATAACTAGCTTGAATGGTTTTCCTGATCTGATACTAGAATCCATTGGTAGTCATTTGAACTTAACAGGATGGGAAGGTGTGGAAATGTCATCTACAAATAAAAATATCACATTTTTTACAGACTATTATGATATCTCGATGTACTCTACAGTAAGTCTCAGTCTTTATAAATATTGTTGATTTTAACTTTATCATTGATGGTAGGAACAAGTCATTACAAGACTGATAAAATGTTGTACAGATAAATCTGAGGTAGAAATGAAATACATAGGGGATAATCAAAATAATTAGAAGGAAAGATAACACCATGCCAAAATAAAAAAAGATGGAAATAGGATTTACATTACACGATGAAATACACAAAAAACTAAAGATTGACCAACACAACCCCAATCCAAAACCAGGGATGAACTCAGAAACTCCTGTTATGTTGCTTATAAATAGAAATCTGGCGAATTGTCACATTCAGTAATAGTCATAAACAGGGGAGTTCAGGATAATGGATTGTGCCTTTGACAAAATGAAAATCAAAATGGTCATTTGTGTCATATATTTTCTTAAAAACTTAAACCAAGCCAAAATAGTGTTAGAATACTTTCAAACGTTTCTTGAGTTTGACTTGCTGAGGAAATGGTATTAATTTGCTAGAGCATAAATTGCAGTTCTGATATTGTTGGGTGGAATTTTAGATGATAAAGTATATAATCATTGGCTCAGCAATCCATTGGAAAAAAATATTGTAGAGTTGTACTAGGTAAAGAGATATACATTTGATACCTTTTTCAATTTGTATAATTATTGTTCTACCATATGCAGATTTTCCACTGTCACTGTAAATTCATTTCGAAAATTAAGAAAAACAACAATGTCATATTAATTTGCAGATTTCCCAACCGACCCTAATTTTGAATGCTGACCCTAGCGTTTTAATCAAAGTTGCATCAAAAACATTTCACCAACATATAATTTGTTTTACAATTTAACTGCTAACTTTATTCTCTCAAATGATGAGAAAGAATTCATAAGAAGCATGAAGAAACATCAAGAATTTGTTCATTTTGTCAAATTGCAAATGGTTGCGTTCTAGTCAAGGGTATAATAATGGAAATGACCATGTTGAAACAATATTTTTCAAATTACCACTAAAAAAAACACCTACCCACCTCATTATTTTTAGGAAAGAAACATTATACACAAATATTTTTTAATATCAAAGAACGTATTTTCATGGTAAATTTTAGCACTGTATATTATTCTGTTTTGATAGCATGGTAGTTTAACACTGGATGCTGCAAACGGTATAAGACTTGATGTGGAACATATTCCAAAACCAACTGTGTCTAACACACCAGGACCAAGAACTTATAAATTATGTGTATGCATACCACAGGGCCGGTTGTTTGCAGTACCAGTCACTGGGCCAGGTATTGGTTGTCAGAATGCTGACCCAAATGATGATCCCTGCAAATAGGATATAAGATAAATTAAATTGCTTACCATTTCTCCGTCCAGATTAGATTTTATGTTGTTTTTGTATTTTTAAGTGTTTTCAATAGTTATTGGGATTATTTATACTGTTGTGTGATTTTCATAGGACATATATTTTTATAGAAAGTTTTAATCTTTCCATAGAGTTATCATGGTTATAGACTGCAATATTATTACTGTGTGTTACTGATTTTTATTTTAGTATTTATATTTCATAAAAGAATATCAGGATTTTATCGTATAAATTTGAACTTAGATAAGACATTGACCAGTAGTGAGTGTGAGAATGCTTATATGCTGAGAAAAATGTACCTATAAAACCTGTCAACATGAGAAAAATTAAGGAGAAATTGTAAGTTTGAAAACTGACATAAAATTCTATAGAAAGATGCTTTTATATGAGTTTGTATAAGGAACATTAACATATACTAATTTGTTTCATACATTATACTTAAACATGTTAAATCTGAAAATGATAAAAAGGAAAGTTTTATAAACAGATTTAGATGTTATTACTTTGAATGTAATTATAGGACAATCAGCTTTTGTTATGCCATAACAATTTTTTCCCTCTGATAATAAAAAAATATATTTATGTTTTGAAGTATGAAAATTTATTCCAAATTTTCATTATACTTAATCTGGGCATTTTGCAATATTTTTTGATGTCATTGATTTAATTTGATTTTTAGATAAATGTGTAGCTTAACATTGATTTAATACATCAATATTGATATATAACTTTGGTGCTAAATTAAAATGTTATACCTCATTTTTAAGTTGTATGTTAAAGGTTGAAAAAAAGATACTCTGTTATTTCAGAAACTAGTACTAGATGTAGTAATTTGAAAAATGCAATTGGGTTCAGATCATATGATTTATAACTTGCATTTTTTGTGATGGTGTGATTATAAATATTTCATTAAGATATTTCTATTAAGTCCTTATGCATTTTAATTAACTTTTAATGATTGATATTAATAAATGAAGATGGTGATAATTTTTTTTTATGGTATTGTGGGCAGATCCTTCTTATTGGGAGATCATTGATAGTCTCTTTTAATACAAAAAAATAGAAAATTAAACCATAAAAGTTGTTTTAAAGATTTTAAGATCAGTTATCATTATATTTACAAGTTATTTTATACAATTACTTTGATTATAGTAGATTGATGTCTACCAGTTGTAGACTTGGTAGATTTTTTTTTATATTTTTCACACTCTATAACAAACATGTGTCTTTGGAGTTAAACACTCAACTAATATGGTCAAAGTCACATATACATATATTTTCCATATTTACAATTGAATTAGGAAGTTTTAGGATTTTACTATTCAACTCATCACTTAATAAAAATGGCATTTTTAAGGCTACCATTTGAAGATTAAGATATTTTTTTTTATTATACATGCACAATCATAGACTAGATGATAGGAATTTGGCTCCATCTGTAGAGTGTTGACTCAAATGATGGTTGATTGTATAGTTTGAATTCTTATCACTCAAGTATTTGTGACTGCAGGATATTAATTATATTTTTAAAATGATAAGCCAAATTTAAAGGCCAGACTGGGATGAGATATTTTTGTACTGTATTTGTTAGCATTACAACTTATTTTGAAAATAGAACTTAAAAATCCACACTTTACAGATATTAATTTATTTATATAGTCACATAATCTTTATAGTGCAATAATAAATCAACCATGACCTCATCTATTTATCTATAAAGTCAAATTTAGTTTTACTTATTGTATCCTTTTAGAAGTCTCATGTATTTGTTAAGCATGTTTATATACACCCGTTTACGGGACGTATTATGGTATACCATTGTCTGTCCGTCGGTCTTTCTGTCCGTCCATCGGTCTGTCCATCTGACCGTCCGTCTGTCTGTCTGTCTGTCCTTCGTCCAGGTCAGACAATAACTCAAAAAACACTTTAACCAATTTGCATGAACCTTTGGGGAATTATTTATATCTATTGACTTGAGCTCCCTTTTGTTTTTTATAAATTTTAGATTTTACATTTCCGAGTTATGGGGGTTTTATTCATTAAAAAAGGGAGATTTTCCAGTTTTCGCACAATAATTCAAAAACACTTTCACCAATTTGCAAGAAACTTTGGTGAATTGTTAATAACAATTGACATGAGCTCCCTTTTGATTTTTCTAAATTTTAAGATTTTTTGTTTTCGAGTTATGGGGTTTTATTCATTAAAAAAAGGGGGATTTTCCAGTTTTCGGATGCTAACTCAGAAAACACTTTCACCAATTTGCAAGAAACTTTGATGAATTGTTTACATCTATTGACATGAGCCCCCCTTCAATTTTTATAAATTTTTTAATTTTACGTTTCCGAGTTATGGGGTTTTAATCATTAAAAAAAGGGGGATTTTCCAGTTTTCAGACAATAACTCAAAAATGCTTTCAGCAGTTTTCATGAATCTTTGGTGAATTGTTTATATCTATTGACATAAGCGCCCTTTCGATTTTTATAAATTTTAGATTTTACTTTTCCAAGTTATGGGATTTTATTCATAAAAAGGGGTGATTTTCCAGTTTTCAGACAATATCTTTAAAATGCTTTCAGCAGTATTCATGAAACTTTAGTGACTGGTTTATACCTATTAAGATAACCTCCCTTTAGTTTTTTTTAAATTTCTAATGTGACATTGAGAAGTTATTGAACTTTATTCTTTGAAAAAGCGACGGGCGTATCATGCGCTCATGGCGCAGCTGTTTATTTACATTTAGACTCACAGATGTTTAGTTACTTTGATATTTTTATGCATTAACCAAAGTAAATTCTAAGAAACTTCATTTGATCTTTTTCTATTATTAATTTCAGTAAGCAGTAGCCATTTTGGATTCACTATGATATTTGGAAAATCCTTGGAAAATATTTTGCCATAGATGAATATTTTGATTACTGATTTGGCTTTGAAATCCTATAATCAGTTTATATTCTGACATTTAAAAATATGTTTGGTATTTTTCCTGACCTCTCAATGGTCATATACATTAACATTGAGTAACAGTGACAAAGACATGAAAGACATTTAATGAGGTTTTATTCTATTTTACTGTTATATATTTGTATTATCATTTTATATTTATATATATATATTTTAAAACAAATGGCAAAAGTATACATTGTTTGTTGAGTAAAACTTAATTTCATACATAATTGAAATTTGTGTTTATCATTTAACTCTGAAAAGATAGTACTGAAAACGTAAATTCTGATTTCTATATAGATTGCTTATATTGGAATTATTTGTGTATTGTTTAATTCAGCCAAACTCAATTTTACTCATTTAATATGGTTACCAATACATATAATGTGTGTACATTTTATTGTGATTCAAGATGTCATATGCTGAAATTTAATGCATGAATAAAAATCTATTTTAGCAGAAATCATTATTGATATTACATTTTTTTTTAAATACGTCTTTTAAAATGGTTGGTGTTGTCCAAAATTTTCACTTGGCATTATACTTGTCTTTAAAGTTTTAAATAATTTCTAATCTTACATCAAGTCATCAATTTTACCAAATTTTGTCGGAATGATCATTTGGACATTTCTTATCAGAATGGAATGACAGATTTTACCAATTGGCAACCCATTCTTAAGGATAATGATGAAGAAAGGATAATGATGAAGAAAGGATAATGATGAAGAAAGGATAATGATGAAGAAAGGATAATGATGAAGAAGAAAACAATTATTTTGTTGTTTTTTTCCTTTAAATGTGAATACTGACTCTTAACATTAAAATAGTCTTTGAATACCCCCTTTCCCTTCAAAAATTATCACCAATGTCAATTGGTGTTTCCTTGGATAGATTTATGAACCCAGAATTTTAGACCAGTTGTATAGTGAAATCATTTAGGCCATATTTAGGTTTTAAGGTTATCTTTCTGGTTCTCAGAAACTGCTAATCAGCCAAAAAACCGGGCGCTGGCTTGTTTTTATTGCCAAACCAAAATAAAGTGTGTAAAAAATCCGAGTTGTTAAAATTTTAGTCAAACTAGTCAAAGAGCGATAACCTTACACATTCTGAAATTCAGGATTTTACCTCTGTTTTATAGGAAGTTTAGACTTTCGGTAGACTTGAACCTTTTCAAAATATCAAAATGTAACACAAATGTAAAATATTGGTGCAATGGAATTTCTGTACTAGTCTAGGGGATTGCTTTAGCCAAATTCCAGATACACTTTTAGATAAAATTCCTGAAGCAAAGCTCGTAAGCTTCATTTGTATGACTTAACATCAGACTTTTACACCATTCTTTGATTAATTAAAGGTGAAGCAATGTCTCTGAACTTTTCGAAAGATATAAGGGATCATAGATTTATTCTTACGGGGATGCTCCGAGCATGCTCGGAGGATGCTCGGAGCTTTTTAAGAAGGCTCTTCTCAGCAGTTTATGTGATAATAATTATCATGATCCATTAAGATGTCAATCAAATCTACACCACTTCTATAATAAGGAAAGTAAAGCATTATAAAGGAAGCTCAATTAACACCTGTGTAAACATCTGGTCTATTCAAATACATTTTGCATGAAATTTTACAAAACTATCAGATAGATTAGAAATTCTTCAACAGTACTGTGTAATGCTTAGAAAGAACGATATCTCAAGTCTCCACAAAAAGTAAAAGTCATTTAAATATTTTCTTATTATATTTAATAATCATTCCTTTTTTATAATAAAAAATTCTCTAATTTTATAATTAGATGATACTATTTAAAAATAGTTTATATTATATAATATGCTACATAAAAGTTATCAAGACACAAACAGCAGTCAGGTGTCGATACTAAACAAGGTTTTTTTTTATTTAGTCACTTATATAAGTTTTTTTTTTTAACTATTTAATAACTCAATAGTTATTTTTAATGTCAAATGAAGCATGGACTAAATGTAGTTTATAAGAATTTTTATATCATTTCATTAAATAAAATTAAGTATTTACCCAATTTGAGATGAGTATAGAGAGGTTACTTTAAAAATAATGACAAAAATATTACTTTTATAAATTATTTTATACAACTTCAAAAAACTTAGTATTTACAATTATTTAAGGAACATATATGTAATTGTTTTTGATTAACATTCAATTTATAAATAACTTCAAGTCTTAATAAATCACAAGGTTCCATCTAGTTATATCTGCCTATGTCTAAGATTTTAAGGGGAAATGATATTTTAATAGCCCCAAGAGGCCAATCTTTGACCAAGAAGTGTGGCATCAGAAAGGCAATTAGTGCTTGTGGAGGATTTAAATAGTTTTATATTTCATGGGGTAAATAACCAGATGTCTGTGAAAATTTGTTAAAGCTAGTAAAACCTGTATGAATGGACTCCTATAAAAATAATATTAACAGAAGTTACTTATTCATGATATAGAAGTAATATTTGAAATAGCCTCCTTTTCAACATAACTTGTATAGGTAATTTTGAAAATTACTTGTTAAAGTAATGCCCCTAACTAAACAATGGTAATATGTTTTTTTTTTAGATAGCAAACTAAGTTCTTTAATAGAACATTATGGCTACTTTAGGAAAAGATGTAATTCATTAGTGGAAACCTGGTTTCCCTCTAGTATGTCTCTCTTTAATTGATTTTTTTTTTTAAATTGTGCGGATTTAGCTTTGTTTTAAATAAAGAAATACTTGGCATGAGTATAATTATTTTCCCCCTATAAGTCTTTGTTTAATTGTTATATTTCGAAAAAAAAAAATGTGCAGAATTTATCTATATTTTAAATAAAGAAATACTTGATGTTTTAAATAAAAAAATACTTGACAAATAAAGTTTTATCCTGTCCTGTACTACAGTAAAATATAACATAACTTTTCAGTGCATATAAGAAAGTAAACATCACCAGAAGTTAACCAATCAAATTCTCTCCCCCTTTTTTCCCTGTTTACAAAATAAAATATTTTTATTGCTTTGAAACACCCAAGATACATGTTTACGATTCAAACAAACTTTTCTGCAATGAAATGGAGGGTTAATTCCCAACATCTGTCAAATTAAATAAAATATAAAAAAAGATCAATCCTTTTTCGCATGAAACTGAATAAACGATGTTTTGGTAGTATGGTTATAAATCAATAACCATAGTTTGTGTCTTTGATGACTTTTATATTTTCATTTTGTATAGTAAAAATTTGAAATATATTTATATTTCAAATATAAAATTTTAGTATTTTTTTGTATCATGTGTATTGAAAAAGAATGATAATTATTAAGAAAACATTTTCTTTCTGTTAAGACTTGATACCAAGCATTGTACAGTAATACTGAAGAATTTCTCATCTATTTTATAGTTTTGTAGAAATAATGCAAGATTTGTTTGAATAGACCAGATGATTACACAGGTGTTAATTGAGCTTGCTCTATAATGCTCTACTTTCCTTATTATAGAAGTGCTATAGATTTAAAAGTAATATTTTTGTCATTATTTTTAAAGTAACCTCTCTATACTCCTCAAATTGGGTAAATACTTAATTTTATTTAATGAAATGATATAAAAAGTCTTATAAACTGCATTTAGTTCATGCTTCATTTGACATAAGACATTTAAAATAACTATTGAGTTATTAAATAGTTTTTTTTTTTTTAAAGATATATACTTATTTACTTATATAAGTGACTAAAAAAAATAACTTGTTTAGTATCGACACCTGACTGCTGTTTGTGTCTTGATAACTTTTATGTAGCATATTATATAATATAAACTACTTTTAAATAGTATCATCTAATTATAAAATTTGAGAATTTTTTATTATTAAATATAATAAGAAAATATTTAAATGACTTTTAATTTTTGTTGAGACTTGAGATTTCTTTCCAAGCATTACACAGTACTGTTGAAGAATTTCTAATCTATTTTATAGTTTTGTAAAATTTCATGCAAAATGTATTTGAATAGACCAGATGTTTACACAGGTGTTAATTGAGCTTCCTTTATAATGCTTTACTTTCCTTTTTATAGAAGTGGTGTAGATTTGATTGACATCTTAATGGATCATGATAATTATTGTCACATAAACTGCTGAGAAGAGCCTTCTTAAAAAGCTCTGAGCATCCTCCGAGCATGCTCGGAGCATCCCCGTAAGAATAAATCTATGATCCCTAACCCTATCGAAATTGACAATGTCAATGAACAGATTGTCAAAAAAGGCATTCTGAATAAAGCATGAAGATAGATGCAGTTGCTCTATCTGTTTATTTAAGAATATTAAACAGACGAAAAGAGGCATTTCCAAAAGGACAATAATCCAAAGTAAAAAAATATTGATTGATTTTGATTTAATGATAGACTAATTAAGATTATGTAATGTGTCTAAAGCGAAGGTTGCAATTCCCTCAAGCAATGTTAATCAAAGACTTGGTTGTCTTTATAGTTTCATGAAATTGATAGGTGTTGATTGCAGATCTTCGTTAGTCTCTGTTTAATTTTACTGAACACAATTTTATTATGACATTCAGCACAGCACTGTGGCGGTTTGATATGATATTTTCATGCCTCATACCTCATTTGTGAAATAGAAGCAACGTACCTATATATCAGGGGCCTGGTTTTCGAAAGTACCCTAAGTATCTTAAGATATGTCATAAGATATATCTTAGGACACATTCTATGACCATCTTATGATATGTCATAGAATGTAAATCAAAGCTGTCCTAAGATAGTCCTACCTGTGATGCTCTTATGAATGTCATAAGTGAATATAATTTCTTTTATTTTAAATAATGATTAAACAATGATAATAAATATGAAAATAATAATTTTGAACATAATGATTATTACCATTCTTATTATTTACGAATATTTTATTTTTTTCATCATAATGAACATGAAATTATACATGAAAAGGAATTAAAAGCTGAGTTGATAATTTGTTTAAAATTAGTTTGTATATTTAATAAATCTTGAACTTCGCTTTCATGTATTATCATACATGAAGTGTTATTTGATTGTGAATACTTATAAGATTCAGTACATCGAGTACTAGCTTAATGAAATGCCATGCAAATACGTTAATAAAGTCTTCAACAATAATCCTTATATAAGGAAAGAAATATTATGTATATGTATTACACAAAATCATGAGTAAGAAAAGGAGTCCAAATTTTACGTCCCATGCAGGAGATTCAAATTTTAATTGACGAAGTGGAGAAGAATAAATCTTTACTATTTAGCCGACTGAGCAACACAACTATTATTTTTATTGCAATGAACATGAAATTATACATGAAAAGTAATAAAAATTTTAGTTGATAATCATAAGACCATCATAAGACATGTTGCAAGGTGTCAAGTTTACGACAAAAGTTATGATATATCGTAACTGGGGACACTTTCGAAAAACATATCTTACGACTATGACATGTCCTAAG